ATTAATTAGATATTAGATATCTAGTTAAATATTAGATATTTATTTGATGTAGATAATAGCTTGTGTATGGTTTCACATTTGTATATATGGATACCTCCACTGAAAAGGAAAACTTGCATTATCCCTTGATTGTGCTCTTAGAGAGAGGTAGGTTTGCCCATTTTTTAGGTTCTGCCAACTGCATGATGAGATGGAGATTTCTAGCAAGCTTGTTTCATCATTCCTAGTTCTTCAGGATTTCTGCTTTTTTTGCCACTTGAAAATTCTGAATCACATTCAAAGCATGAGTTGCATAAGTAATATTCTACAGCCTGAGTAAGAAGAACCAAACATTTCATACCAGAAAACCTCTCATGACAAAACAATACAGCGTCTGTCAAAGTTGATACTTACTAAGCTGACCACTTTTGTAGTGTTAGTTTAGATCTTCAGCACCAACCTTCACAATTTTGCCAATAATACAGCTCTTTTGGTCCTGCTCTCCATCCCCTCTAAAGCCTTTTGTTCTGAACACTTCAGCTCTTTTGGGTATAGAAGTTCATGAGTTTTTAGGCTGTTCCATCATAAGTGAGATTAAGATGGGAGCACAGGACCTCCATGTTTGAAAAATGTCTCTCCTTTGGTGTAGCGTCTGTTCTCAGTTGCTGCGGCATTATTTCACATGTCCTTTGCAGCTCTAAATCATGAAAGCCATCATGACCTTAGTACTGGATGGTTGTGTGGAGAGTTTAGGTGTCAGGGATTTTTCTCTTTGGGGGAGGTTGCCATTCCAGTCTTGCGGTTTATGCCATTGATCTGATGTCATTAATCTGATTGTCAGTTGTTGGATTCCTGACCTCCTGAGGGCCAGGTCCTGAACTTTTTCAATACCCCTTCTCATCCAGTCTGTTAAGGAGTTGGTACTGGAAGAGAGAGGATTGAATCTGATGACCACCAAGACTCCTGTGCCACCTGTACAGAAAAATGGTAAGATAGAGGCTCTTGTTTTTTCACAGGGTTTCATTCTTCTGTAGGGATCATCTGCCTGCCTTGTAAAAAATGGTAGATGCAGTACCAGTGGTACCAGATAGCATTTCTGTAGGAGCCATTCACCTCAGTCTTAGAGTACAGTTGGCACTGGTCCAAACAAACTCTGGGTTCTGCCCCTTCACATTCATGAAGATGGCTCTGCCATTTGTAAGGGTGTCCACCTGGTCAAATCTAACTGGATTCTGCTGATTTTGCTTCCCAGTAGCTGAAAGACTGGGTAAGAAGTAATCAGGTTTCAGGTGAGGCATCTAAATGATGCTCTTGCAGGCACTCCAGCATTAGTGTAAAGAGCAATTTTGAAAGGTTCCAGCAAACTAAAACTGGTAGTAAGAAACAAAGTCATTTTAGCTAATTACTTATTGTAAGATCCTTTGTGGCTTAATCTCCCTTGGAATTAGACAGAGGCTATCTGAACCTCAGCTAAATCCTACATTTCTGTGAGTGGTACTCGATGTGGCTAATAGTGTGTTTGACAGACACAGAAGGACAAAGTTCTCTTTGTAATCTGTATGGCTACAAAACTTGTGATGTTTTAGAGACAGTAGAATTTTTTCATCCATAAGCAGCCTTGAATTTTCACTTAGATCTTCCCCAGAACAAAACTCCAAATGTTGCTTTCTTTTTCAGACAAAGGTTAATCATTGACCTTCAAGCTTAACTTGGAGCTGTGTAAAATATTTGCAATGTTTTGGCTCCATCTCCTGAGTATCATCTTCAGCTGATAGGATGTAATCTCAGTTATGTTTTATATTAACAAGCAAAGCAAGCTCCCCACATCATTGCTCAGAAGTTTTGTTACAACTGAGGCTTCTAGTGTTTGTGTCAATATAGTGTTTCTCTGTTTATCACCATGATAAACCAGTAGGCAATTGAAACAACTTTGCTGTTAAATCTTGTATTTCAGTTTTTTGTTCTGTCTGGGTCCACGTGAAATACAATGCAAATCTCATCATTTTGATGTGTATCAGAAGGCCAGAGTAACATTCTCGGTAACATTCTCAGTATTTTGGTTAGAGAAATTCCATGGGCCAAACAGAACAAAACTCCACTGTGGAATGGAAATGAGCCCGGAAAGGTGGAAAAAGTGTCCTGAAGGATAACGTTAAGTACAGCAGAGGCAATGCAGTTTTGCAGAGCCTACTGAGGACCACTCAGTAGACAATATCCATGTTTTTGCTTTCTCCCAGTATAAGTTAAGCTGAAAGAACTTCTGTTTGACATTAAACAACATATTTGGTATCATTTTTTCATAGGAAATAAAATGTATGTTTACCTGTTTACAGAGAGAGAGATGGAAAAATGTGCAAATAAAACCTTCCTGTGCTGTGCTCAGTAGCTTGGAGTAGACAACACTGTGCTCCTTCAGTATGTTGCTAGATGCATGAGAAATTCCCTCTGTGAAAATCTTTCTTCAGTTTTCACTGATTACACACTATGCTCTTGGAAAAATTATTTTTGTTGGGTGTGGACAGGTTCTTATAACTAAAACAGAATAATGTGGAAGACTTACCACAGTTTTATTTCAAAATATTGATAATTTTGAGAGTTTCAAAATGTAGGACAGAGGTGAGAAGCTGGAAGTAGGACCTTGATGGTTTTATGGTGTTTTATAAAGAGCAGTGGGGGAGGAAGGGGGAGCATTTTGGAGGAGTTGTTAAGTTGTTAATAAATGTTTTTTTATATTTATATAAAGCATTCAAATTATCTGAGTCTGTATTGTCATTAAATTATTTAATTACATTCAGATTCCTGTAATGAACACTCTTAGATGCAGCAAGATAGGTAAGCAGCAAAGTAGAGGTGGAGAGTTTAATATCTTGTAGCCACTGCAAGAGCCTGGAGAATGATACGCCGCATGAGGAGGTTAAGAACGTGTGAAATCAGTCAGACTCTGCAGTTGTTCATCACACCAGAGCCCCAATGTAGCAAATGCTCATGAATAAATTGGGCTGAAACTCCCAGCTGTGGAGATGGCCAGCTTCCAGCTTTAACTGGAAGTGGAGGCTACAGCCAGGGTTACAGGCTGTGCTCAGTTCACTGAAGAATTCAAATGGATGTTAGTAAGTTTCACTTGAGGAGAAATAGTAAAATTAAATATCTCTGCTGTAGTAGTAGAAGTTTAATTACTAAAGTCTCAATGTCATACTTCTCAGCGTAATAAACTTCAGCCACAGTAAAAGCAATTATGCACATTTCTTGTCCTTTTGCATTCTCCAGATGTATCTTGCACCTTTGTGGTTTTATTGGAGAGGGTTTTTTTTTTGCAAATCCAGCTCTATATTTTTGAGTCTAAACTCCTGCATAACTTTTTTTTTTTTAAATTAGTAGAATGATGTGTAGTATCTGAATGATACTGACGTGCTTGTCTCAGAGTTTTGGACCATTGCATGTGATAGGACTGGAGAAGCTGATGCTATTTTTTGACCTTCACAGACCAAGGACCAAAACAGAAATTAGTATGGAGAAAACAGTTCCAATTGCCACTTGTAGCAACTTAGAAGGAAGAATGTTTAAAATTCTCTGTTAGGGCTCAAGACGTCAAAATACAAACTTTTTCAGATGATAATTTTATCTGGTATAAAACAAGCTTTACATTTAGAAATCTGTGCAGCATTTGCTGACCTAGTGGGATGTGTTCTGGGAATGGATAGGGAATATCGTGGCCAGATAAAGCCACAGTAGTACTCCCACCAGCACAATAAATGTTGAGACTTAGATAAAAAGCAAGAATTAATTCCTGAGCTGGGGCAGGATGTGGGTGTTCCGTTTGAAAATGTGTACCCTAAGCAGTGGAGCTGGTATCTGGCACTGGCACTTGCTGACGACATTTCCCAATTTATTTTATTCCTCAACAAGTTAAAATAAATTCCAGGTGAAACAAACAGCATGCTTTTCTGTTGAATCAATTAAATTTATTTTTTCATTTGCATAATTGTCCAGCCAATTTGCTTACATAACTGATTGGCTTCTACTAGGAAGTGAAAAACACACTTCACGTTACAGAAATTATGAAAATCCCCAAGGGCTGTGAGAATGTTAACTTGATTTAAAGCTTCACTGAACTACAGATAGTTCCTAAACCTCGACAGTTCTCTTTTTAACCTTTTTCTGGCTGGAAATACAATAGATTGCATGCAAATAACACCAATCCCTAGCAGTTAATCTCTCTTTGTCCTCGAACACTGGCAGCAGTGGACATTTTTGCTCCGAGGTTCCATGTCCCTGTATCAGGTGCATTTTGACACCAACTACCTTGGTGTCAGAAAAAAATAAATGTGTAAATGTATGTGTACATCGAGAGTTACTATTGCAGGACATAGTCTAAGCTGTGCCAGGAGAGGTTTAGGTTGGACAACAGGAGGAGTTTCTTCTCAGAAGGGGTGATTAGACACTGGAATGTGTCAAAGGAGGTGGTGGAGTCACCGTCCTGGAGGTGTTTAAGGAAAGACTGGACGTGGCAGTCAGTGCCATGGTCTAGTGGCCGGGTGGTGTTCTCAGAGGTCTTTTCCAACCTAACTGGTTCTGTGTAACTGCAGGAGAGCAGCTCTTGCATTCCCCTCGGGACTGCAGAGCTCACGCCTGGTTCTTCGCCTACTTGGTGTTTTTTTTTTTCTGTAGAACAAAAGGCGACGTGAAGCGCACGCAAGCATTTGGCTAAATTACTCCCATCCCCTCAGCAATGGGGCAGGCATTCCTTCTGTCGGGGTTTTCCCGTATCGGGTTCTCCCGTATTTTCTGTGTCCGTGAGGAACCGCTGCAGGCGTACCCGGACTGACGGGCGCGGGAACCTCACCAGTGGGAAGGGGTCGCTTCCCTCAGGCGCCCCTGAGGGGCGGGGCCCGGGGGGGA